TATACAATTCAAGACCTAGTGGCTGGTCTTTATCAACAAAATCTGCTTTCAGAAAGATTTCAGCTTTGATTCTATAAGTTTTTATATCTTTTGATTCTATAAGTTTTTATATCTTTTATATCCTGATTTCACATGATGACAGGAGGTTAACAAGAATAATGGTTGGCCAGGAAACTTAGCTAATCTTTTACAAACTCCTTTTAAATAGCCAGGGCAAAAAGTGAACTGTATGAGATAAAAAGCATCTAACAAATTTTTAATTGCTGTGTATTGAGCCTCAATTCTATGTTGTTTAAAAACCATGTTTTTTTAATTTTTAAAAAATGAGTTTGTGCAATTTTAAAATACCACCAAATAACAAAAATAATAGTAATACAAATGGCCACAATCTGTATAGATCTGTAAAAAACCTTCCATTACTTGTAATGTACTTGTAACATTATTATATAGCTAATAATTTGTAAATTTCTATTTGCGCCGATTGTTTGAAATGCCCGTAAAGACTCAAAAAATGTTGAATTTTAAACTAGTGGCGCAAGTATAGTCATTTTGAATAAAAAATAAAAAAATTTCATTAAGAAAACAATACCTTGAGAATATTTTATGACACTCAGCATATTAAAATTTGTCATGAGATTCAAAATGAGTTGGGCTAATTTATAATATATAGTTTTTATATTATATCTGAATGTTACATGTTGTATTGTATATACATTTATAAGGCAATATTTAGGACAATATGTTTTTTGTTTAAAAAAAACATATTTATGATAAGCATCAAGTAAGATAATATTTTATCTTTTATTACTAATATTTATATATATATATTTTGCAGCATATACTTCATCTCTATAACTTTAGAGTTACTGAAAAATAAAAGCGTATACTGAAAAAATATTAGTTAAAATTTAAAAATGATGTTTTTAATCTATTTAATCATAATTATATTCATAAAATTTCAAAAAAAAGTTTAACAAAATATATAACAACCACCATTTGTTATGTTGAAAACAACATAATAAAAACCTCAATGATTAATGATAATAACCTTTGTGGTTATAACCTGATTAGGAACAATCCTTTTAATACTAAAACATTCCTAAATATTCCTTTACTATGATAAGTTTTTTCGAGTGTGAATAATCTGTTTTTGTTTTAAGGGGCTGTTAGGTAAAATTGTTGAGGGGCTGTTAGGTAACATTGGTTTCACTTTATTGACAGACATGCTACAGTTTTTTACAATAGTTTTCTGTTTATACGCAAGCTATTTGTTTAATTGTTAGAAAATTGCTTGTTCAATATAGAATGGAGCTAAAAATTATGCACCATGTAGCTTCTATGTAACAGTAAAAAGAGATAAATGAAATCAAGTCCATCTCATTACACACTGGTCATTTATACACCGCTTGCCCAAAATGATTTTATACTTGTTTTAAGCATATGTTTTTAATGTTAATGTTACATGAATATATACACAAAAGCGTTGTTTATCATAATGTGAAAAATATATTTTGTTATAATTGTCTTTAAAAAAGCATTGCAGTTTATTTTGCAATTATTGGATTATTTCAAAAATGTCTTTAGCATTTTTTATCTTAGTTAATACGATAATGGTTTTCTCTTATAAACAACTTTGCGAACTTAGCCATATTTTCACAAATGCTATAGTTATATTGACTGTTAAGCAAAAAAGTAACAACAACAAAAAACAAAAACAAAAAAAAACTCCTTTTGCAATCAAAAAAGTTGATCTGAAACTTGAACTTTGTCTTTTTTATTCGATCTAGTTTGCACAAGAATTTTTACTTGTTTTAATCATCTAAAAAAAGAAAAAAAAAAGAAAGAAAGTGATTTATATTTATAAAAAAATATACCTTTGCTAGAGCCATAAACTGCTCCCGTAAACCACTTTAGAGGAGATTTAGAAAAAAAAGGAGATTTAGGCCAAAGAGAGAGCTAAAGCTCTCACTTTCTGCTGAGGCCTATATATATTTATATATATATATATATATATATATATATATATATATATATATATATATATATTTATATATATATATATATATATATATATATACACATTTATATATATATACACATTTATATATATATATATATATATATATATATATATATATATATATATATATATAAATATATATATATATATATATATATATATATATATATATATATATATATATATATATATATATATATATATATATATATATATATACACACACATTTATATATATATATATACACATTTATATATATATATATATATATATATATATACACATTTATATATATATATACACATTTATATATATATATATACACATTTATATATGTGTGTGTTGGAGCAAGAAATATAGGAATGTTAAATCTTTGAAAAACTTATAGATTCATAAATATTAATATTTATTAAAAGCAAACACTTGAGTCTTTGACTGTTGAAGTTTCAGATTTACCCCAACCAAAAAACCAGAAACTGTCACAGAAAATATTTTTAAATGTATTGAAAAAAAGTACAGGTTGTTGTCAGTTCAGCAGCAGTACACTCGTGGACAAAATTGTGGACATACACATGGATTTATTACAAAATAAATGATTAAGCAAAAAAATACTATTTATTGCACTCAAAAAGTTTATAAAATAAAATTCTAGTAAAAAGTTAACAAAAACTGCTCCAAAGAATTGCCATTTTCTTTGAAAGTCATTAGTACAAAACTTTATGGTCAGATCAGCAAATAGCACCATATTAAAAGTATTCATATTATCATATTGTTTCAGTTTTTTTAGCACTGACAAGCTTAATAACGCGTGGATATCCCTTTGAAACAATAACTACTTGGCACCATTTTGGCATGGAATCCACAAGTCTTTTTAAATCTTTAGGAGTAATTATATGGTACCAAGAATTAATTATTGCCTCAAGAAGTTCCTGCTTATTACTGGGATGTTTAGCTCCAGCCATGCGCAAACCAACCTTTATCTGCTCTTCGGCAAACATAACCAGTGCGATTATTGCCAAAAAAATCGAGATTCGTGCTCATCACTCCAGATGACTTTCACAGATGAACCACTGCTCAATGGCATTGAGCAGTGGTTTTTTTCTTGGAATTCGAGCTTTTAAATCTGCATCCACCAATCGCCGATAAACAGTTCTGTCACTAACAGATATTTGTGCAACTTTAAGAGAACTTTAAGAGACTGTTTATTTCTTTTGCTGTTATTCTTCTATTTTGTAGTGCTTGTCTTGATATCATTCTGTCAGTTGTAGGTGTCGTTGCTTTTTTTCTTCCCTTTCCATGTTTGTTCTCGATGCTGCCAGTCTCTTTGAAATGCTCATACAATTTTTGTACCCCAGAGGCAGTCACACCACTTCCAATTTTGTCTGCAATTGCTCTATAACTATAGCCCTCTTTTCGCAGTGTGATTGCAGTTGTTCTTTTTTTAGGTGACCAATCAGTCTTTTTAACATTTTTCATTGTTGAAATCTATTACAAATGTGAATATTGCTGTCGTAATTGCTTATATGTTAAAGATTTCATATTAAAAAGGTATTATAAAGATCTTTTTATAAAATTACAGTGTAACAAAAAAAAATTCTAGTAAATGTGAGCAAAAATTAGCTAAATTAACATTGCACTTTTATTCTATAATTTTTTTTATCTAAATACAAATGAAATTTATAGCTTTATACTTACTGTAAAGTACAATGGTAGAATGCAATAGAATTTGTCAAGAAATATCAAATGTTGTAAAAATAATCAAAAAAATAATCTGTTATTAATGTATACAACCATGTCCAATCAATTTTCACCTAAATATACTGATTTCTGAGTAAATATTTTATTAAATTATACCCCCAGCCAAAGCCATCTGCTTCTTGAACAAAAAAGGATAAGTATGTCCACAATTTAGTCCACGAGTGTAGATCTGTCATTTTATCTATAAAATGCCTAATATTGCTGCTGTGTTGGAAATTTCCATTTCCAGAAAAAAAAGAGTTTACCTTTTTTTTATTTTTTTTTAGACATACGGTTTTTGAAAAAGAAGAATTCAAGAAGCGATGCATTTCATTTTATGCTGAAGTTGTTGCTGAGTTTTGCTTTTCAAGAAAAGATTTTGATAGAGTGGATACAAATGTCATTGAAAATATTCTGAATTATGTTTTTTCTTCTGAAACCACTAAAGTATTTTCACCAATACCAGATTATGCACTTGATCCAACTCCTGTTATTCGTTCATTTTTACTCCAACAACTTCTTCAAAGGTTTGTTTTTTTATGTTTAATGTGTTCAGTTTTGAGATTATGTTATGCTGTTATTGATTGATAGGAATAACTAAAAAGTTGAATAAAACATAAAACAGGTTGCCAAGTCAAGAAATATTAGAACTTTTCATCAGTCTCAAAATGTCATACATATTTGTTATTCCAATTTACAATTTGTTTTTTGTATTTTTTATAATATACAGTCAACATTCTTTTATTTCTTTATCCTCAGAAAAAAATTAGTTTTGTTTATTTTTAGCAACTATAAAAATGTGCCCTCCTCTAGATTTTTCTACTCAGGATAGATGTTTCTCTAAAACATTTTTCTTTTTTTAGGAGTTACAATGAGGTCCAAAAATATCTCAGTCACCATTTAGCAATGTTATTTTCACATACAGATCAAAGTCAGCTTCTTGAAGTTGCAAAACTTTTTATATATTGCATGGAGGTTGGTTTTTAATATAATATACAAAATATATTATTAATTATTTTTCTGTGGCGCAGACATCTGAGAGTAGAAAAAGAGAAACCTTAAAGGTCTGTTGGAGTATTTAGGGGATTTTAGGCAAGCAGTGTACAGTTGAGCAGTGTGTAATGAGACTTGGATTCATTTATCTTTTGTTACTGCTACATAAAAGCTACTTGGTGCATAACTTTTTGCCTCCATATATAATATGAATATTAAAAAAAAAAATTTTAAACATTTTTACAGCAATTATTGTTTTATTTGCGAAAAAAACACAAATTTTCCATTAAATATGCTGAAATGAGGGGGTACCGCCACCCAATTTTTATTTTTTTTGAATAGGCCCTTTATATTATATATATATATATATATATATATATATATATATATATATATATATATATATATATATATATATATATATATATATATATATATATATATATATATATATATATATGTGTGTGTATGTATATATATATGTGTGTGTGTGTGTTACATTAATTTTAATGTTAAAAGTATTTACTTACCACTTAACTGTGGTGCAGATTTAAAAATCACATTCTCCATTACAGTAAAATATATTTGTTTAGGATTATTTCAAGTTGTTTAGCTCTTTTTCGTAAAAAAAAAAAGTGCCGTAAATTGTAAACGTTTTATTTAAAAAAAAAAGTTCAAGAAAAAAATTTTTAAGAAGTTAATTTTACACATCTCTATATAAAAATGCTTATAACAAATCAAATTTGCAGGCAATGAAAAGATAAAATATTGATAAATCTATTAATAATAAAAGTATATATGAATAAGTATATATTAATAAAAGTAATATATTAATAATAAATAATAAAAATATTTAAAATATATATTAATAATAAAAGTCATTTACAAACAGCTTTAAAATTTTCTTTAGTATGATAATACAGTATAAAATTAGACACAACATACAAACCAACATACACATATATCTTGTCTCTGATTTTGCTTTGTTCTCAGAGCATACAAAACACCTTCTACCAGTTTTGACAGTTTTTTCTGTAGCTCAATGAAATAACGTTCTGTTAATTGTAAAAATGAAGGTAATACATGAGTTCAACTTCTAATTTTTTCCACTGATTCATGATATTTTAAAATACTCTTTTTAATAATTGATTCTCTAAACTGTTAGAGTGTCATATTAGATGATAACTTATTTTTATAATATTTGTATTGAATGCAAAAATACTAATTAGGATCATAAAAATTTATATACCATTTTTTTACTCCTTTTTTTTTCAGATTCGTAGGTTGTCAAAATTTGGTCAGATCGGTCAATGCCATCCATGTTTATGTTATATTCATGTACCAATTTTGAGGAATTTTTTTTCTTTACCAGCTCTATTAACAGTGACTATATTGTTTGAAACACAGGTACTCAGCATGTGTACATCTCTCTTATCTCTCCATTTGTTATGCATTATATTTGTATTTGTATCATATCACACTAAAGTAACACCAGTTTCTAGATTATTATATCTTGTGGAAACTGTTTGCGATTAATGTGTAATGTGCTAATACAATCAGTATTATGATCTAGCAATACCTTAAAAATTTCATAAGATGTGTACCAATTATCAATATGCAAACAATAACCTTTATCCAATTAAGTTATCCATTAGTGTAATAATAATTTTAGTAGCTTGATATTTGTATTTCTCTAAATAAATAGAAAAACTGTTGCTCGTTTCAGTTCCAGTGTACAAAAACCAATTCCAAATATAACCTAATTCAGATTCACACAATATAAAAGACTTTATACCAAGTCTTGAATGTTTGCTTGGAATGTATTGCTTCTAGCCTAAGTGACCTCTCTAAAGCAGTAATGATTCATCTATGGATATATTTTTATGTGGTAAATTACTAATATTAATTTACTATTTAATAATTAATAATAAATTACAGTAGTTTGACAAACTACTGTTGTTAACAAAATGAAGAAACTTCTCAGTAAGAAAATTTATCAATGGTGTGTCAAACAGAGGGTTTATTGAAAAATATATGGCATTTGTTGGTTTCCACAAGGTTCCATGGTATAAAGTAAATGCTATGTACAGTCTTATATCATTTCTGACTAATGGTATTCATTTCTGAACTCTAGATCTACATTTGAATTCATTATTTTTATGAAATTCTGCTTCAAAAATGTTACTTTGCTCTACATTCAGATTGACAAGCTCTTTGGTTACAAAAGCTTCAAATAAAGTAAGAGGGCTACTACCAACTAAAAAACTTGTTTAAGGTCCTGGGTTTCCTTTAAAATTTACAGAGTTTGCTTTATAATTATCATCATTAATCCAATTTGGTTCATATGTACATGTATGTATGTACTTATATATATATATATATATATATATATATATATATATATATATATATATATATATATATATATATATATATATATATATATATATATATATATATATATATACATATATATTTATATATACATATATATATATATATATATATATATATATATATATATATATATATATATATATATATATATATATATATATACATATATATATATATGTATATATATACATATATATATATATATATATATATATATATATATATATATATATATATATATTTATATATATATATATATTTATATATATATATATATATATATATATATATATACATACATATATATATACATACATATATATATAATATATATATATATTTATGTATACATATATATATATATTTATGTATACATATATATATATATATATATATATATATATATATATGTATATATATATATATATATATATATATATATATATATATATATATATATATATATATATATATATATGTATATATTTATGTATATATATACATAAATATATATATGTATATTAGGGATATGACTTTTTAAAAAAAAATTTCCCTGGCCCAAAAATGGATGAGTTTTTACGCATAAAATGCGAAAATATTAATACTTTCACGATGTTCAAAAAAAATGTCACGCCCCAAAGCACATTAAGATTTAAAAAGGTTTTAAAAAAATTAATGACCAAAATCATTTCTATTTGCAAACATGTTCATTCATATGATTTTATAAAAAAACATAATTTATTCTAACAATTAATACATGGCATAGTGTTATATTCAATGTAGTAAAAAACATTTTATACAATTTAAATACATACAGCTATTGTTTATTAGACAAAATGAAACGAAGTGGAAGATTGTCTTTATTTCTGCACAATCTATAAAGCTCCTCCATTACTTTAATTGCTCTTTCAGCACATTGATTACTTCTGGGAATGTTGATTGCTGATGGTTCTGGATTCCAATGACTTGTAAATGTAGCAAGAGGTTTCTTTTTGTTTAATAAAACTTCATGAAGGTCTGAATAAGTGTTTTCTTTATAGGTTTGGTTGTCAAACCAAAAGTCTGCCCACTTGTAAGAAATAAAGGTACATACAGATTCAAGTTTGTTTCTTGTTTTTGGCATAAGAATGTAGGCTAACAACGCTAAAATAGAACTTGAACTCCACCAAGCATTACTGATATTAGGGATTTTTTGAAATCTTACATTAGGAAATATTTTATTTTGGTCATAGTATCGGTAGGTTCTCGTCAGATGAAACAGAAACTTCATGTCATCTCGCCATCCTCCTGTGTCTTTTATTTCTTCTGTACCATTATAAAAATTTGTCTTCAGTGTTTCATAATGTTCTAACAACTTGTTAGTAAAAAAGTAATTAATGTTTGGTGAGTTCGGATTTTCTTCCAATTTTTCTTTAATTTCTAGTCTAAGTATTCTATCCAAGATATGATCTTGACATGGTACAAATTGAGGTTTTTGTAATCCTTTTTTTTGAAAAATGTCCTGAAGTTTTACAACAACACCATTTTTCTTTCCGGTATTGACATTGGTAGTAACTGTCACAATCATTTTAATTGAATTCCATAGTTTAAATTCATCTATAATATCAGCTATGGCATTAATAATAGTGATAGATTTTCCATCTATTAACTTCAGTGCGCCCAACTTTATTTTGCTTCTTTCATTTTTAAGAACGACAACCTGATACTCCCATTGGTCTATATGCTTTCCATCGAAGTGTAGACTCCAATTCTCATTCTTTAAATCTTGAATTAAAGTTTCTTTAAATTGTTTTGCTTCATTAAAAAGAGCCTTGTATATTCCAGACTGTGATGGCGCTGGAACATGTATGCCTTCTGAGGACAGTATTTTACCTATTTTAGAAGCTTTCTTAGTTGATACCTTAGCACAAACCACTAACTTTGTTGCTATTTTACAACTACTATATTTTTTTCTTCAAATTATTATATTCTTCATCTGTAATTTCATTATCTATCTCAAATTGTTCATCAGTTTCTTCAAATTCGGAACTAGAGTTGTCTCTTTCTATTTTACTACTTTCAGTAAATGAAGAAAAACTTTTAGATGCTGAAGGTTGGCTGGAAAGTTTTTGCACAATTGATGGATGAATAGTCTTCTTTCCTGCCAGCTTTGAAGTAGCATATCCAATTTCTCCTTTGCTTTGTAACTGAATTTCATAAAATCTTTTATCTTCAGATGATAACCAAATGCCATTTTAATTTGTTATATCAAAAATCTCTTTTTGCAGAAGGTCGGCATTTCCTTTTTTTCTGAGACTTTCATATTTTTCTATAACATCATTAATCTTTCGCTTCACTGACTGCTCTGTCAGACATGGGAAATTTAATTGTTCTTTCCACAAACTTATAACTTCTTCTGAAATAAGATCTATCCTTTGCTTTTTGGCTTTCACATCAGTACTAGACAAATACTTAAACCTGCTAACAATATCACTTTTTAATGGCATTTCGGAATATTCTTGAAAAGATGTTTCTAACATTGGAAACTGTCTACTTTTATGCGAATCTTGAAATTTCACAAGATTTTTTTTATAAGTCTCTTTATTTTTTTCAACACTTGATTGGCAGTATTTGTATGCCATTTTAATTAAAAGCAGCACAAAAAAATCTGAAACTAATTAATAAACAGTTAGGCACCGTAGTGAAAAACTAGAAATTATAAAGTGGTAACGCATACGTCTGGTATGTATTTAAAATTATATATATAATATATATTAATTGTCTATATATATTTTATTATATATAATATAATAATATAATAAAATAGATATAGAGGGTTATGACTTCTTAAACTTATATTTTCTGGCCCATATGTAATATGTATAGTATATTATATACCTATCTATATTGTATTAAAAAACATTTCAGCTGAGGGGCGTGACATTTTTTTACACTTGAAGGAAAATAAACATTTCTTCATTGTTTTATAGCAAAAACTCATCCAAAAATAATATGGGGTTTTCCAAATTGTATAAAAAGTTAAAAAAGTCATATCCCTAATGTATATATATATATATTTATGTATATATATATATACATAAATATATATATATATATTTATGTATATATATACATAAATATATATATATGTATATATATATTTATGTGTGTGTGTATATATATATATATATATATATATATATATATATATATATATATATATATATATATATATATATATATATATATATATATATATATATATATAGTCTTGCATGGTAGTCACAAAGTTTTTCCCATAAACTGTTGTTTTAAAGAGCGCCTTAATAATCTGTTGTTTTAAAGAGCGGTTTTAAACAACTGTTTAAAACAACAGTTTTAAAAAACTGTTGTTTTTAAGAGCGCCTTAATAAGCCTGACCAGAAAATGTTAAAAAACTTAACATTTTCTGGTCAGGATATATATATAACACTATAAGGATATATATATATGTATATATATATATATATATATATATATATATATATATATATATATATATATATATATATATATATATATATATAATATATAAATTTACATATATAGGATAAAAAAGAATTGGATTTTTCTACGTTAATAAAGGAGACTGTTATTAACTCGGCTCTACTTGAATATGTATCAGATGAATTGGTTACTGGATATAATTTTGCTCAGTTAATCAAACCTGGAGAATCTTTAACAGAAGTCTTATTACTTGAACGTGTTGCAGCATTGCGAATATCTTTGACAGTATCAGCTCAAGTATTGTGTACCTGGTTTCTTGGAGAAACTTTTAACGAAACAAAAATTAAAAAAAATTTTGATAGCTTTTTGGCCTTACTAACAAAATTTATTCTTAAGTATAAAGACAGTCAACCGTATTTTTATTTCTTAAAGCAAATTGTTCGAAGTTATGGTATTCAAGGTTTGAAAGAGATTGTAATAAAGCCTGAAGTTGATTGGCTTCTTAATCAAGATGAAAACGTTGTAAGCTGTCGTTTGGTTTTTTATGATTTAAAGAAAAGTCTTTTTTCTTTCTCACATTTTAACAATAATTTTTTCATTATTTACTTATTTATTTTTTCCACTTTTTCTTGACACATATACTAATGTATTTTTGCTGACATGTAGTAAATTGCATTGCTTCTTAATGTTTTGAATTTTTAGAACAATATGACAAGTTATGACAAGTTTTTGGTATATGGGGATCATTATAAGAAAATTCGTGATCGTTTAGTTATTTGTATTTTAGAAGATAACCTGCTTGGTATAACTCAACTGGAAGAAGTAAGATTATCTTTTTATTGTAAAGTTTTATTGAATTTGTTATTTTTTTACTTAAAGTATGAGTAAAATATTAATGAACTTTTTGCTAATAAATATAAACATCTTATTTTGTATTAACAGTACAGATAATTAGTAATTACATAGAATAAATGTAAAAAAATGAATTACATTTTCTTGTAGGATGATGAGAATAAAACAAATATTTTTCTTCAATTATCATTGTTCAAAGGATTATCCAATCTTCCTGTAAGAAGGAATATCATTTATTATGATTACAAAATATAAATTTTTTGTTTAATTTTTTGTAAATTTTTAAATTTGCAACTAATTTTATTCTTTTTCTTTAGAGCCTTGCAATTCTCAAAGATAAAATAACAATACAGGTAAAATTTTTGTTTTTTTTGTTTTTGTTTTTTTTTTTAGTTTTACTATTGTATAATTAATTAAATTTGTCTTTAGACATGTTTATCTGCCATAAGAAACTTTTCAACTTTGGAATCATATTCTTCAATTTTATATCATTTCTGGGTTGTAATAAATTCTGGAAATCCTTCTGCACGTCTTTTTTTGTTGCTGGCCACGCACCCACAACAAGTTTATGTTAGAATATTACATACATGTTTTAAAAATAGTTTCATTTTATAGAAAAGAAGATGATTTTAAGGAGATAAACAAGATGGAAAAGTTTAAGGAGACAAATTTTTATAATCAAAAAAATAAAACATTTTGAAAATTTATTAACAGATCCAAACCAAGGATAAGTTGCAGGATAAATTAGGGTAAATTACAAACAAGTTAGGGATCGTCCATAAATTATGTAACGCGAAATTAAACTTATAGACAAAAGATAAAGGATTAAAAGTTTTCCTTTGCAGAGTCTTTATTTAAATCAAGTATATAAACAACCTTGCAAATCCAGCAAAAACTGCCTTGCAAAAGGGAAAAATAATCTCCTACTTATATTTTTTAAATAAGTTTGGCGTTGCATAATTTATGGACGATCTCTTAAGGCATTTTACAAATAAAGTCATACACATTTTAAATGTGTAAAAAATCACCAAGATAAAATAAAGTATGCAAGCATAATAAATTATAGATAATTACTTCAAAATCAAGAATCGCAATAAAATTAAATTTTTGATCTGTGGGTTATTGTTAACAATAAATAAAAAAGATTATTTTATTGTTATCAAATGGAATGGTGCTCAAAACAACATTTTTTAAAAGTGTCTTTAAATAAAGAAAATAAATTTTTTTTTATATATTAATTTTGATGACTGTAAAAAGTTGATCTCCTTGGACCATAACCTTCTTGATATTTAAATCATGTTTATTTCCTAAGTATTATCTTTTTTATATTTTATTATTGTTTACTTTGATTATCAAACTATGTTTTATGTAAAATCTAAAAAAAATTTTAACCAAGTGTGAAAGTGTAAATAGAGTTCATACCACTTAATTTGGAGTCCGTTTTGAAAAATGTTGCATAGATTTTGCTTTTTATTAGAGATGGTTTCTTCCAGCGATGCCACATGATAACTTATCAGATGTTTTTGGCTTAAATCGTAGTGATAACAGCAATTCCTTTCTATTTTATGGTAACCTTATTTGTTCAAAATATAATGCTGTTTCAATTATTTATTTTTTTTAATCTATTTAAATGTTAAATTTAATTATTAAATCTATTTTGCATTAAATTTATGTTTAGCATGTCCTCGTGGTCATCCATATGTGATAACAAATGTAAGAGCTTAATTTCATGTTTTAATAATTTCATTTCATATTTAATTTCATACTTAAAGGTAAAAGTAGTTGTATAGTAAATTAAGATAAGGTAATCTTACATAATAGATATGAATAACTTTTATTTAAAAGAATATACAAAGTATTATTATCTTTATTATTATTATTAAGTATTATTATTATTATCTTTATTATTATTATTAAGTATTATTATTATTAGAGTTCATTATCTTTTTAAAGTTCTCCAGATTTTTTTGTAAAAATGTTTTATGCAGTTTTGTTTTATGCTCTTTTTAGTGTGGTCGACCTAATCAAACATATGTGTGTCCTGTTTCAAGTTGTCGATTACCAATCGGAGGAGAAGGTCATACACTGCTTCCAACAAATCAAATTGTTTCTAATAGGTATTTATTTGAACAAATATAAAAAGTAATTTGTCTCCAGATATTTTATAGTAAAAAATGATATAAAATAATGAAAAAATAAACATTTTTATTAACAAAAGTAAATATTTGTATATCTATAATATTATATTTTTGTAGATTTTTTAAAACAGTCAAATTTTCTTCAAAAAGGTTTCTAGAATGATTTCTTAAAATGGGTTTTATGAGTTGTTGTTTTTTTGTTTTTTTATTTTTCTAATATCTCCACTTCCAACAAGGCTGCAAACAAACACTATTAGAGTTGGAAGTTACTGAAAGAGAAAAAATAAAGTTTTTTAATTTGCATTTGTTAATTACATTTACCCCCCCCCCCCTCCTCACACACAGACAAATATACATGCAGGTATATTTATCTGTGTGATATATATATATATATATATATATATATATATATATATATATATATATATATATATATATATATATATATATATATATATATATATATATATAATTAAAAATATATATAGTCTATAGTCTATTTATGTGTGTGCATGTGTACATGTATCCACATGAAACATCACTGATGATGTCATACTTTGATATTTAGTTTGTTTTCAATGGATTTAGAAATCTTGATTTACTATACTATTACTTTTACTCTACTATTATTAATTACTATTTATTAGAGTTGATGCTACAAAACCTGGTCATTGTTTGGGTCCAGCTTCAGAACGCTCAAATTTTTCTATTCCACAGCGTGAATTGACACCTTTATCAGTTACACTTCAAAATTTATTAGTGCATCTTTCATTACTTGTTGCAACATTGACAGGTCATGTAGAGGTATTTATAATTTTTTTTGAAATTTAAAGAAATTTATCAATTAAATTCTAAAACTCTCATTAATACTAGCATGTTGTGAAATTGGTGCATCCAGAAGTAAATTCAAATTCAATGCAAATGTTTCTAGTACAGCACATTGATAAAGATCTTGCTCTATTGTCTAATAGAATTGCAAAGAATAATGATGATACAAACTCTGCAGTTCACACATTTTTAAAACACCTGCTATTAAATGATGAACCAGGTATATCTTTGTTTTACTATTAAATTGTAATTTCTTTTTTCATAATTACCAAACTTCAACATGATTAACAAATCCTCCAGAATGAGGCTTGTTAGTGACATCACTTGCTAAGTTTTTACTTTTTTTTTTTACACACAAAATTTAAAAACATCTACAAATTTACCTATTTTAATTTTTTTGTGACATATGACCCGCCTTGCGAGTTAATTATTTCCATATGATGACTGACCTAGGTCATCAATATATCCTAAATTTACAAACTTTTTATTTACTATAAGAAGAAGATGTTTAGTAAATCAAAATCTTATTAGCTGTAAAATTTAGAGAATTTTACTTCAAACAGTTAATTCCATTTCTAGATCATTTGCAATTTAAAATAAAAAATAACTATGCAGGTATGAACAAGATTTTAGAAATTTTATTTAATAGTAGTGATGCAAAAAGT